GGATGTAAAAGACCTATACAAAGAAAAGTAAAAAACACTACTGTAAGAAACCCAAAGGGATCGACATAAATGGAAAAACGTACCATGCTCATGGACAGGTACACTCCACATTGTGAAAATGACAATTCTACTGGAAGCAATTTACAAATACAATGCAATCCCGATCCAAATACCAACAACATTCTTTAAAGAGATGCAAAAACTAATCATTAACTTGTATGCAATGGGAAGAAGCCCTGGATAAGTAAAGCACTAATGAAGAAGATGAATAAAATAGGAGGACTTGCGCTACCTGACCTCAGAACCTAATGTACAGCTATGGTAGTCAGAACAGCCTGGTATGGGCACAATGGCAGATACATTGACCAATGGAACAGAATTGAGAACCCAGATGTAAATCCATCCACCTACTGTCACCTGATCTTCGACAACAGCCCAAAGTCCATCAAATGGGAAAAGACAGTCTTTTTAACAAGTGGTGCTGGAAAAACTGGATGTCCATCTGCAAAAAATGAAACAGGACCCATACTTCACACCATATACAAAAACTACTTCAAAATGGATCAAAGGCCTAAATATAAAGCCAAAAGTATAAAGTTCATAGAAAAAAAAATAGTATCAAAGCTAGAGGTCCTAATCACGGCATTAACAGGATGCAGCCCATAACCAACAATGCACAAACTCCAGAAGATAAGCTAGAAAACTGGGATCTTCCAAAAATTAAACGCTTATGCTCATCAATAGACTTCATCAAAGAGTAAAAAGAGAACCTACAGCCTGGGAGAAAATTTTTGGACAGTACAAGTCAGACAAAGTTCTAATCCCTAAAATCTACAAGAAAATCCAACACCTGTACAACAAAAAGACAAACAATCCGATTAAAAAATGGGCAAAGGAAATGAGCAGATATTTCACCAAACAAGACTTTCAAGTGGCGAACAGACACATGAGGAAATGCTCACGATCACTAGCCATTAGAGAAATGCAAAGGAAAACCACAATGAGACACCGTCTCACCCCGGCATTACTGGCACGAATCAAAGACACTGGAAAGAACAAATGTTGGCGGGGCTGTGGGAAGATTGGAACGCTTACGCAGTGCTGGTGGGAATGTAATATGATACATCCATTTTTGAAAATGATGTGGTGCTTCCTTAGAAAGCTAGAAATAGACATACCATATGATCCAGCAATCCCACTCCTAGCAATATACCCTAGAGAAATAAGAACCGTCACATGAATAGCCATATGCACACTCATGTTCATTGTAGCAGTATTCACAATAGCAAAAGGATGGAAACAACCTAGATGACCATCAACAGATGAATGGATAAACAAACTATGATACCTACACACAATAGAGTATTATGCAACAATAAAGAACTACCATGAATCTGTGAAGCATCGCATAACATAGATGAAACTGGAGGACATTATGCTGAGTTAAATAAGTCAATCACAAAAGGACAAATATTGTATGAGAACTCTAATGTAAAAACTCATGAAAAAGTTTACACACAAAAAGAAACAATCTCTGTTATTTACGAAGGGTGGGACGGGTAGGGGGGAACTAGATAGGCAATAGATAAGTGGTAATTTTGGTGAAGGATGAGACAGTACACAATACTGTGGAAACCAGCACAACTTGTATAAGGAAAGGTCATGGAAGCTCCATAGACACATTCAAACTCCCTGACGGACTGAATTGCTGGGATGAGGACTGTGGGGACCATGATCTCAGGGAACATCTAGCTCAACTGGCATAACACAGTTTATAAAGACAGTGTTCTACATTCTACCTTGGGGAGTGGCGTCTGGGGTCTTAAAAGCCTGTGAGCAGCTATCTAAGATACTCCACTGGTCTCACCCCTTTGGGAGCAAGAGAGAATGAAGAAAACAAGATACTTGGAAAACATTAGTCCAAAGGGCTAATAGACCACAACTACCACGGAGTCCACTAGACTGAGTCCAGTACAACTAGTGGTGCCTGGCTACCACCACTGACTGCTCTGACAGGGATCACAACAGATGGTCCTGACAGAGCTGGAGAAAAATGTAGAACAAAATTCTACAAAACTCATAAAAAGAGATCAGACTTACTGGCCTGACAGAGACTGCAGAAACCCCGAGGGTATGGCCCCATGACATTATTTTAGCTCAATAACGAAGTCATTCCCGAGGCTCACCATTCAGCCATAGATTAGACAGCCCCATAAACCAAAAGGAGACTAATGGGCACAACTGTCCAGGGACGAGGACTAGAAGGCAGAAGGGGACATGAAAGCTGGTGGTAGGGATCCCAAGGTTGAGTAAGGATAGTGTTGATGTGCAGTGAGTTTGTTAAACATTGTCATCGGGCAACTTGTGTACAAACTGTTTAATGAGAAACTATTTTGTTCTGTAAACCTTCATCTAAAGTGACAATAGCAGCACAATTGTAACAGTGTAGTCGATGTCACTGAACTGTGCATGTAGATGTTTTTGAAATGGTGTATCTTTGGCTATGTATATTTTCATCAAATAAACAAAAAGGTCGAGAAGGCAGAGTGTTGACATGTCGTGGGGTTGTTAACCATTGTCATAAAGCAATATGTGTACTAACTGTTTAATGACAAACTGTTTGTAAACCTTCATCTAAAGTACAATAAAAACTAAGAAAGAATGAAAATAAAAATAGAAGTATGAAATTTTATAATTTTAACATGGCCTGAGGTTAAGTAGCTTGTGATGAGATGGGAATATTTAACTGTATGGCTGGGCAAGCCCTTTATCCCCCTCAAATGGTATAGAATATGAGAACTTATCAAAGCACCTTTATAGGGAAAATCTGTATGATATATTTAAAAATCTACTTTGGCCTTTCAATAGGAACTCAACATCTCCTAAGTTCTGGAGGTGTGTGATGAGATAAACTGACTTCAAAATAGCCCAAGTGTGAGGATTTCCTGTTCAAACATTAACTAACACATTGATGAACCATCTACTTTTTCCACTCAGCCTCAGTCTGAGCCCTCACAGGACAGTCTGTGAAGAGCACAGATATTGTTTGTTCTTGAACTGGATTAATGTCTTTAGATTTCTCCTGAATCAGCTCAACTGTGATGGGTTTTTTTGGTATTTGGTTTCCTATAATCCAGCTGTAGCAGGCCCCTCTAGGACATCGACCAGGCCTCCCCACTAAAGGATGCATGGCTTTGTGACCCACGGAAGGTATGTACCACTGCTCTCCTCTCTGTGTTCTAGCCCAGCTCATTCAGTGGGAGATTATAAAGGCTGTGCATGATACCCTGAGGGACTGTTAATATACAGTATAATCAAAGACGAACAATGGAGTCTTTATTTGAATAAGTCAAGGTAAAGAGCAAACATCGAATATGTTTGATAATTTCTTAAGATATTCAAATTACTGTCCTTGGAGAATTACTCAAGTGCACACATACATTCACACACACACAGTTGGGTTTATTAACATCATTTAAAATGAAATTCCGTAAGTATCATGACAATGAACAATTAATTTGGATTTTTTAATTGGTCTAATTTGTGTTTGAATAATAATATTTTATTTTGAGCCCAGTCTTTAGAACTATATTTTTAAAAAGAAACTAATTGAATGTTGCAAGGTCAGACATAATTCCTCAACCACTTAGATTAAATTCATTCAGTTTTATTTTCGAGTAAAAGCAGGATGAGATAGCTTCCATAAAATTGTAATCTGAATGTAATAATTAATGACAAAAGGTTTTTAAAAATTTCAGAAACCTTTTTAAAAATGAACCACTCTGATAGAAGAGAATTGTATCCAATGGGTTATTTTACAATTTCTAACTGAAATAGATCAGAAACAACATGGCCTCTGTGACTAAAATAATAATTAAAAAGGCAAACATCTTCTGAGCACTTCTAAGCGCCAGGTTGAGTGTTAAGTGTATTACATCCATTATTTTTATATAGTATCATTTCTATTTTTTTTTTGCAAAACTGGGCTAATTCCTAAAGGTCAAACGTTGTAGGTTTAAAAACTGAAATCTAATTCTAAATTTCACTTACTCTGGAGCCGATTGATTAAATTAACTTACTTGAACTGAATTATTATAATTAATTCCCCAACTAAAGCGACCCTCAATGACCTTGACAAACACAGGATCTTTCTGGACATTTAACTCAAGGGTGTTCTTACAGAAATGGTCGACATTTTCATTCATCGTCTTATTACCTCCTATTCTAACCATTAAATATTGACAATGTCTTCCATAAAAGAAGTGTTTTTTTTTTTTTTAAATATATATTTTTCTTTGTGGTGCTTCCAGTATTTTTAGTCTGTGTATAAGTTGAGTGTGTTAGGTAACACATTCCAACATGTAAAATTTTTCCTTGAATTCTTAGTGATTTCTCAGAACTGTCCACCTATCCACGAACAAGAAAAAGACCTAGGATAACACTTCATCTCCTTTAAGTAAATACATGTGTATCACTAATCAAAGTAATTTAGAGGAACAAATCAATATATATGATAACTTTTCTATCCCCTCATTTTTGGATTACTTAGTCTTTAATCATTATCACGTTTTAAATTTTCATAAAAATTGATGCTTTTTTTTTCCCAAATACAGAATTTTAAATTTTAACACAGGTAATGCAATGATTTTTATGATATTTCCATGGACTCTGACTTTAAATAAGTAATGATATTTTAATTTATGAACTTCTTTATCCTCAAAAAGGCATTGCTTTCCATTACTCGGGCAAATAATATTTTGTCAAATGCAGGATATCTAAAAAAATAGTACTTACTCCACACTGGACCCTTGTGGAAAGCCTAAAGTAAATCCGAATCAGAACTAGACTTGTCAACTGCAAATGACCACTAATCCTCGCCTTACTCCCAACCCCCACAGCCCAGTTTGTGTGCACAGCCATCTTGTCGTTGTCTGCACCACATACTGACTCCTTAAAGCACAGTTACTCTAAAGCACAGTCCGTGACACCACTCAGCTGCAGAGATGAGTAATCAAAGAGTAATCTACTCACAAGTCAAACTGGCCGAATACCCAAAGAGGCAGCAAACCAAACCTAGGAGCAAAAATAGCTGCTCCATTTCAGACAGTGAGCAGCAAATAACCTCTGTGGGACGGAAGCTTCATAATGCAGCTCAGGATCTTCAAGGAAATGACAAGAAATCCCACTGCAAAGGTAAAGCATTTACTGACCTTCAATATTACTGCTCTAGGCTGTGGTTGGGAGCAGAGATGTGGGGAAACAGGAAAAATTGAGACAGGAAAGGATAGTCAGATTTGGGGAACAGGCTCACATATTTTCATTTTTGAGGATCAGAACTCAAATTGGACATATGATATTCTAATATGGAATCTGAAGACTAGTTTTATTCAGGCCTTGTTGAAATCTGTAGCTTCTGACTTACAATTCACGGAGCAGTATGTTTACTGAAAATGCAGTGGTGTAGAGAAAGATTACAAAGGTGGAAGTGGGTTCAGTCCCAGCATTCATGCATATAATTGTCTGTGCATATGGTTCCTCTTGTATGTAAAGCTCCCAAACCATTTGCTCCATCTTCCCTTTCTCAGTATTTCCATTGCTCCCTGCAGATTTTCCAGCACCTCCTGGGAGGCTCATTGCTGGGGTCCTGAGACTCCTCTGCCTTGCCTTGATGGTCGGTGTAATAACCATGACAATCACAGTTATTACTCCTTGTAAGTCTTTGAAAGATAATAAGGAAACTTTTTGCTTTAATGATTTGCAAGTGCCTCTAATTATTAAGAATATTAAGGAAGAGAATTTTCAGTATAATGTATGTATTTGGACTCAATGTTTATATTGGGACTAAATATGGAAAGATTATTGTGAATTTGTAAGGAATATAAATAACGGTGTAGAATGTATATATATGTGTGTATATATATATATATACACTTATATATGTATATATTCTCCATTTTTTGTTAGAAATCTGCACAAAATTATTGAACAATACAAGTTAATTTTTCAGAGTGGTTGTATCAAATACCGTAAGAGATGGTAAAGTTTGGTTCATTAGGCTGTTTTTCTCCAAAAAACACTGGTTGTACCTGCATGTGTAGGAATTGAATTTCAGTAATTAAATTTTTCCCCAAAGAACTTCATGAGTTTATTCATTGTTTTTGTTATTTTTATTCCACTATTCTAATAGTAAACATATCACATTTCAAATCGGAAAATGAAATATTACGATTTATTTATAGCATATTAATCTAAGAATTACTGTAAATTTTTTTAGATAGTGTAAAATCGGAACAGAACAATTCTTCTCCAATAAAAAGAACTGAGAAAGGTATGTGACCATTTATAAAGTTCTGATACTAGTGCAGACTATATTTTGTCCCTATATTAAGGCTCACAAAAAAGATAATAAACTTTAAAAGCTAAAATGGAGCAATATATTTTCTTAAATAAAGAATAGGAGGGCATTCCTTCTTGTGTAACAATAAGATGAAATATTTTTAAGAAATCAATAGACGGTTATATATATACCCACCAAAATCAAATAAAGGCACTACATGTGCATTTTCAGGACATGTATAGCATATAGTCTTTGTTTGTTTGCCTTATATGGGTAGATAAATTAGGGGTCAAGATGCTAACTTTCTGTGCATATATATATATATGGCATTTTGTGTTTTGTTTTACATGTACCAGTTGTGAAGGTGTGTATCTTGGTTATGTACATATTTGTTTGTACCTATGCAAATATGTCATTTAATAGTTATTTGTTCATTCCAATCATTTTGGTAGTAATTCATAATCTTTCATAGGGGATCACTGTGGTCGTTGTCCAAAGGCCTGGTTTATGTATTCCAACAACTGTTATTACATTAGTACTGAGAAAAAATCATGGAAAGAGAGTCGGTTGGAATGTGCTTCTAAGAAATCTAATCTGCTTTACATAGATAATGAAGAAGAAAAGGTAAGATTTTTAAATGTTTCGAACATTTTATGGAAAGTTTATTTCAGTTAATTTTATGTCTGTAGGATTCATGCATATTTTAGTATATAGTTGTAGTGTATTTATTGTCAAGGCTGTTTAATACTCCATTTGATTTTACAATATTTTATTTATATTATTAGGCTATTAATGCACATTTGTTTATTTTAGTACTATTTCTCATGAAAAACAATACTTCTGTAAATGCTTTTTTTCTAATATATACTTTTTATTTTTTCATACGTCAAAAAAAATAACAACTAAATACATAATTGTGCAGATTGATGAGAAAGTGACTAAAAACCCTGTGCCATCAAGTTGATTCCAGCTCATAGTTACCCTAGAGCTGCCCCCTCTGGTTTCCAGGACTGTAAATCTTCATGGAAGCAGATTGCCACAGTATTTCTCCCACAGAGTGGGCTAGTGGGTTCCATCTGCCGACCTTTTAATTCTAAGCCAAGCACTTAACCACTCCGCCACCAGGGCTCCTAGACAGTGAATGACCCAAGTATTTAAAAATACCCTGTCCCAGAGTAAAGAGCCCTGGTGGTGCAGTGTTTAAGCACTCCGCTGATCTTCAAAAAGTCAACAGTTCAGCATCACCCTGAAAGAAAGTCCTAGCCATCTGCTTCTACATGAACCACAGCCTCCCCCAGCCTGAGCCCAGAACTAGATGGTGCCCAGCTACCACCACCAACCGCTCTGACAGGGATCACAATAGAGGGTTCCAGACAGAGCAGGAGAAAAATGTAGAACAAAATTCAAATTCACAAGAAAACACCAGATTTACTGGTCTGACAGAGACTGGAGGAACCCCAGAGACTGTGGCGCCAGGACACCCTGTCAAGTCAGAACTGAAGCCACTCCCGAAGGCCTCCTTCAGCAAAACATTAAGCCCTTGCCGTTGAGTCTATTGCGACTTGTAGTATTCCTATAAAACAAACAATAATACACATAAGGAACGTGTTTCTTAGTTTAATCAAGTCTATGAGACCAAATGGGCAACATTTGCCCAAAGCAAAGACGAGAAAGCAAGAAGGGACAGGAAACCCGGACAAAGAACACAGGGTACTCAGGGTTTAGAGGGAAACAGAAAGCGCTGACACATTGTAGGGATTACAACCAATGTCACAAAACAAGTTGTGTAGACATTTTGGAACAAAAAACTAATTTGCCCTGTAAACTTTTACTTAAAACACAATAAAATTAAAAAAAAAAAAAAAAAGGAATAAAACATTACGGACAGCCAGGAAAACCTGTGGAGCTCAGTTCTAGTCTGTGAAACTCGAGGTCGCCATGAGTCAGAATCGACTCTATGGCGACAAAGTCGGTGGTTTCTTTTGTTGTTGTTGTTTATTTACAAATAAGTTTAAGAAATAGACGTTGACAGTCCCCTAGAAGCCACTTCCTTGTGTCTGCTCTCAGTACTTCTCTGTCCTCCCTAAAGCACTATTCTCTTTTGTATATTATAGAATAGCTTTGCTTGTTTTTCCACTTAATATCAATGAAATCACACAGTATGCATTTTCTCTTTGGTCTGTTTCCTCTCACTCATGTAAGTCATTGACGTAATTCATCTATCTTGTTGCAGTTCACTGTAGTTTGCTAATTTTCACTGCTACATTATGTGAATATATTTTGCAATCCATTTTACTGTGCATGGATATTTGGATTATTTCTAACACTTGCCTGTTACAAATACTTAGTTATTCTCTGTACATCCTTGTGTATGTAATGTGTCCACATATTACCTGTTTGTGTAGGAATTAAATTTCATAGGTATCTGTGCATGTCAAAATGTGTAAAATTATTTAATAGTTTCCTAGTTTTTTTACATGTATCAGTTTTATTCAGTAGTGTCTGAATGTATTCCTTGGTCCTTGCACTCACCAGGACTTAGTACTTTGAGGAATTTTAATATTGAAGTTTTTATGGGTTTATAGCAGTATCATTGTGATATTAATAATGCATTTTCTAGATTACTGTTAGACTGAACACCTCTCTATGTGCTATTAGCATTAGGATGCCCTCTTGGTGAAGTGCCTGTTGTCTCTTGTCCATTTTTCCTATGAGATTGTCTTTTCCTTCCAATAAGTTAATGACATATTTTGAATATGAGCTCTTTCTTGATTTTAATGGATTTAAACAGCTTCTTTTTTCTCAGTGACTTACAGTTTTACTTTTAATATTTTGAGACTTTTAACGAACAAGCTTTATTAATGTTACAATAGTCCAGTTTAGCATTGTTGCAGGTGTTAGTGTTTATTTTGGGCCTAATTCAGAAATTAGTCAAGTTACATGAAGATATTCTCTTGTATTTATCTGCAGGAAATATCTTGCTTCTTCATTTTATTTTTTTACCTTTTACATGTAGATCAACAATTCATTGGAATTTTATTTTTGTGCTGCTGTATTTTTGATGAAATGAGATAGAAGTGAAGTTCATGCTTGTCTACATCATGACTCAGTTGATGGAGCATAACATGTAGCAAAGATGACCATTTCTCCATTCTTCTCTCTGCCGCCTTTGTCATAAATCAAGTTCCTGTGTGTGTCTGTGTCTGAATGTGATGAATTTAGGGACACTGGGACTGTGTTTCATTTTTACATTTTTCTCTTGCACCAAAACCACATGGTAAAAGTTACTAAAGCTTTTTGTTAAACCTTGATGCTCAGTGCAACAAACAATTTCATCACAGTCTTCTTCAAGAATATCCTGTTGCACTGGCCCTTTTAGTGCCTTTACAAACATTTTCACACAATCATGAGGCAACTTTATTGAAATTATATTTAATCATTAGATTAATTGTTCACAATTGACATCTTTATACTATTATGTCTTAACATGCCTTGTGTGGTTATTGTGTGCTATTGAGTCGATTTGACTCACAGGGATGCTATAGGGCAGAGTAGAACTGCCCCATAGGGTATCCTTGGCTGCGATCTTTATGGGAGCATATTGCCAGGTCTTCTGTGGAGCCACTGATGAGTTGGAAATGCTGACCTTTCAGTTAGTAGCCGAGTGCTTCACCGTTGCATCACCAGGGCTCCTTTATCTTCTCCACACTCGGTTTACATTCTCCATACAGTTGTGTACTGTAGATAGAAGTCTTGTACAATTTGACTCACTTTGGCTCTAGTATCTTTTATCTTTCCTTTTCTGATGCTGCCAACAGAGCACACTACATTGATGTATATTTGTATATTGACCTTGTTTTCAGCAATCTTGCTTAAGTCATTACTTTAGTCAGGCTTTCACTAGAGTGATTTCTAGTGAAACCACTTTCAATTTTTTTTTATTGTGGTGAATATATTTGTAACAAAACATTTGCCATTTCAACATTCTTCACATGTACAACTCAGTGACACCAATTGTATTTGTTGTGTTCTTCACTCGTCACCATTACCTATTCCCAAGTTTCCTCATCACCCTAAACAGAAGCTCTGTGTCCCCTAAACACTGTGTCCTCCCTTTCCATTCTCTTCCACCTCTCTACACGTATAACCTACCATAAGCTTTGGTCTATATACACTTGCCTCTTCTAGAAATTTCACATCAGTGTAATCATACAATTTTTGTCCTTTGCTGACTGATTTCATTCAGGATTATGTTTTCAAAGTTCATCCATATTGTAACATGTTTCAAGATTTAATTTCTCTTTCTGGTTGAGTAATATTCCATTGTATGTACCACATTTAGTTTATCCGTTTATCTGTTGATGGACATTCAGGTTGTTTCCAATTTTTTAGTTATTGTGAATGGTGCTCCAATGGACACCAGTGTGCAAGTATCTGTTTGCATTCCTGCTTTCAATTCTTTTGGGTATATACCTAGCAGGGGAGTTGCTGGATAGGATAGTAATTCTATATTTAAATTTTTGAGTAACCACCAAAGCTATTTTCCACCTTGGCTGCACCTTTTTACCGTCCCACCAGCAATGGATGAGGTTTCCAATTTTTCCACACCCTCAACACCACCTGCTGTTTTTTTGTTTTTGAAATCAGTGCCATTTAGGGGTGTGAAGTGAGAGCACATTGTGGTTTTGCTTTGCATTTCTCTAATGTCTAATGACTTTGAATATCTTTTCATGTACTTGTCGGCTATTTGTATTTCTTTTTTGATGAAATGTCTATCCAAGTCCTTTGCCGATTTTCTACTGTAATTTCTGTTATGTTTTAGTTTTATTTTTTAGCCTTGCTTCCTAAGACCTTTCCTGTGACCACAGAGCTTTGTTGTTAGCCAATGATTTAAGTAGAGGTCCTATTCCAAGACTTCAGCTCTACAGGACTTCCTCCTTCTGTCACTAATGTGGTGTGTGTGTGTGTCTGTTAGTGTGTATGTGTTGTGAAGTGCTCATAACTTTGCAGCGAGTTCTCAAGTCTCCATTAGATTGTACTTTTCACTGGGAACTCCTAGACCTCCCCTGAAAATGTCATATTTATTCAGTCAGCCAAGAATATATAGACCACTAATGTTATCCCTTTTAATGGACCCTTATTTTTAGGATCTTTCTGTTAAATTTATGGCTGGTACTCTGCTCACTCCCATGGGGACCACAAACTCAGCCTTTACTCAATCATCTTCAGCCAATTTCAGTACTTCAAACTGGAAATCCTGTGGGTTATGATCCTCACCTCTCACCTCCGATCAAATCTGCTCCCTCTGGCAGTAACACTGCTGAGTTCTGCAACCTGCCCCATGCTGTAAACTCTGCAGTTATTCTCACTGAGCTGGGGTGGGAAGAGAAGGGGAGCCGCCTGGGCAAGAAGACTGCAGATGTGTGCAATTCTTACTTCAATCTCTAGTAGCTTTCCAAGGATAAATCCTTTTCAAATTATTATTTGACTTCAATCAATTTCCAGAGCCCTGAAAGTATTGTTTTTGTCAATCTGACCCCTTTACTCAGTCACACTAATCACTGTCTATAACGTGTCCAGTGTGCACCATTCACTATGTGAGCAATTGAGGGGCTATGTACAGTCCAAGGAATCCTCATGGTGTAGTGGTTAAGAGCTCGGTTCCTAAGCAGAAG